ACACACACACACACACACACATATATATATATATATATATATATATATATATATAGTTTTACATCTACCAATCCATTTAACATCAAAAGATGTACCATCAATTCCCAATTATATGCAGAGAGAAGGGGCTGCTCCAAAAAATAAATCATCATCTTTAATAAACAGATGCCACCAAGCCAACCAGCAGTGGCCTTTACCAATATATGAACAATGCTATCATCCGGAAGGAGGAAATAGGGAACACTGGGTTTCCCTGACAGACCCTAAATTGCAGATTGTTGGTCAAAGAGAGATTCAAGGAGGGCCACCACTGCCCAGAAAACAGGATTCTATTCTTGCAGCCTCACATATTGGAGAAAAGAGAAAAAAAGCAAGTTTCCTGATATTCTACAGCTACTGTATAAATACATTCTCCATCATTCTGACAAACATTTATTTATCTTTCAGAGTGTAATGCAGGGTCAATCCTTTTGGGCTGATGGGCACTTCTAAAATTTTGAAAACATGTTGGCAGTGCTCTCAAAAATGATTGCAATGGAGACTGCCTATTTATAAAATTATTGCCATGATGGGAGTAGACATCACAATACATCCGCCTACCAGAAGACAAACTGGTGAGATTGCTCCCAATCATCCCCCCTAGGCCTCAGGATGCTCTCTATTACTCCAGCTCATATTTGCTCTTTTTCAAGGCAGGTAGCAAACAAAGCCCTGGGCACCCATCCATTATTTTAATTTTCTAAGAATGTCTGTGTGGGGCCCAGAGAAGTCTTGCAGATAAATATGAGGCTGGAGGCTGATGCTTTATTTGTAGCACAACAGGTTCCCATTTGTTTATTTTTCAATTAAATTACTTTTAAAATCAGGTTTGGGAGGAAGCCTTATACAGTAGTTACCAAGGGCACACAGACATATTGGTAATTGCACCTCAGATTTTAATTGTGAATAAATGTAATTGCTTAGGTTTCAAATAATCACTGGACTAACAGTTCCACACCTTTTGAATTTACTCCTTTTTGAGAATCCAGAAATTCCTACCTCCAGTTTTTCGGGTTGACCATAAGGCCCCCACATTACTCTATAGAGAGCCACATCAGGTGCTCCATGGTCCCAAGTACCTCTGAAACTAGTTGGGGTTACTTGATCTATTCTCAAATTGAGTGGTGCTGGTACAGGTACTGTAAAATGGAAAAAAGAGAGAGAAAAAGCCCATGCATATATAGTAAATCACTAGATACAGAAATTTACTATGTAAGAGATTTTTGTTTTGAGTGCAGCCACATGGGAACACACACAATAGTTTCCACACTTAGAACAATCTTCGCTTTCTCTAAAGCTTCACATATATCAAATGTTGCTATGGCTAGTATTTACACATGGCAAGGTTAGGCCCATGAATGCTGGCAAGACTCAACAAGTCAAGTTTCAAAACTCTAATACTCTTTCAATATTTTTAGAGACGAAAAAGTTAATTAGGGATTGCAGAAGTGATTCAGTTGTTGTAGAGTTTAATGAAAGACATGGTCTTATTGGGGTAATAAACTAGAAGGCAGCCTTCTGTTTATGGGACTCCCAGAGTCATCTGCATGACTGTTGTAGAAAACTACCATGATCCAACAGGGATGCTCTTATATTGTTTAACCTTGGCAATATTATGACTTAAAAGAAACGTATTAGAACATGGTGGACTGATAACACAGTTGCAACGCTGTTCATGTAAAGCTATGAAGGAAGCCTAATTTTTCAAAGTATGTATCTTTTCTAACCAAAGAAAATTGAAATGTCATGCCACACATACTGCTGATGATCACAGATCTTCAAGCTTTTTGGTAGGGGTGGCAACAAGGCTGTCCAGTATCAATAAAGCCAAAGAGGCTGCATTTCAGTGGTTAAAGATAATTTTACATTTTTTAACCAGATGTTCAATCTACATATGACTCTTCGGAAAAGGGGCTAGTGAATGTAACGGAACTTACATTGTCTGTTGGATTATAACCTTAAATTTTACCAAAAAAAACCCTTTTCATAGTCCAGCCACATAGAAATCATCTACACATTAATTCAGCTGATCAAAAAAAAAAAAAAATCTCCACAGAAACTACATACCCCAATTGTCAATGGCTTTCATCATTTTATGAGTTTCCCAACCCACCCACTACACATCATCTTGGCAACAGCTGTGGAAACAAATGCTCAGCCCAAAGAGACTGGGGCACTAAAGAGCTCTGACTTCACAAGCTCTGTAGCCAGGGTTCCCATGTGGTGACAAGAAGCACCAATATGGCCTCAGACACTTCCCAAACACCACCCAAGGTACCTATGCTACCCAACTTTCATTAAATATATTGAGAGAATATATACATATATATTAACCACAGCAACATGTTCTACCTGGGGCTACCCTTGAAAATGACTTGTAATCAGCAGTTACTAATGGAGAAGTGTAATTTCAACATAAGCAGACATACCGAAAGCTCTGTCTTATAGTGGTGTAAAACTAAAGTACACTGAAATATCATGCTTCTTATGGTTTGGAGCATACAACTTCATAGGAGGAGGGGGGCATTTGCCTAATCAGCCAAATCTGCCAGTTAACCCTAGCGATCAGTGGGTTGATAGATGTGGCAGCCAGATTGTACAAAACAAAAGCAAAAGAATGACAATTCCTTTTGTGGAATATATATATATATATATATTCCACTAAATATGGAAGGAAAAAAAATATGTATGTATGTATGTATGTTGCAAACCCATATGCAGCCAAAAAAACCCCCAAAAAACAGCTGAACCATACAAAAAAGGTCCTGTCTGTGGGTGGTCATGGACAGTTATTAGGCCTGCAAAGATCCGTTAATGATGCGCTTCACTTGTGAGTGAGCTTTATGGAGCCGTGGCTTTTGAAAGGCTATAGCTGCTTCACAGCCCGTTATGATTTTTGTGTTGCTATCTGGATATACTGCATCTCAAGTAGATTCGTTCTTGATAA